GCCCCGCCAAAAAAAAAAATGAAGTATCAGACTGATAGTAATTATAATTGGTATTATCTCAATCTTAGTTAAGTCATTTATCTTTTCATTTTCTGCTTCTGTTTTCAAGCCATCTAAAGTAGCACTATGCAGGGTCCTAACACCCTGTATTATGGTATTTCTCACACTTAACTTGGGAAAGATTTTTCCTTTTAATGTTATTTAACTCTCTCCTTGAGGACTTCCCAGATGTCTTACCAAATCTCATGGCCTCTCAGTTTGTCTGCAGCTGGTGTGGTTTCTCATTTGTGTGGTTGTGCCTCATGATGGGTTCCAACTGTTGTTTTTTAACAAAAATCTCAATTGTTCAATTTTTTTCAGTCAAGACTTGGGAGCCAGATGCTAGGGTCAAAGCCTGCTAGCTCAGAGAGACAGATAAAGCACCTAGCTGACCTCCTTCCTCAGCTGACATCCCCAAAGCCTCCTTCTCCTAAACGCCTCATACCAGACTCTCCCAACTCAGTGTCCCTTCCTTCTACTTCCTATGTGTCTATCTGTTCTTCTGACTCCCTCTTACTCTCTATGGTTTTTTTCTTAATCATCCTATGTTCATTTCCTGTCAACTGGTTTCTTGCTCTGTCTCTTGACTTATGGTTGACTTTATTTAATCTTGTTTACAATATTCAAGCAGAAAACTCTTGGATTAAAGGTATGTGCTAGGGCTGAACCACACAACTAGAAATGGGTCTTTCCAGTAAATAATGCAATTCAGGGTTCATAGTGTGATCAAATATCCTGCAACACATATCACATACTTCCAACATATAATGGCACAGAATATGCATTACTATTCCAAAATGTAGGGAAGGGAGCATAGTGAGGAAATACTGGACCAAACCAAGAATGAAAACCAGCTGGGCAAACTTCAAACTCTGTATCTCCATGTCTGATGTCAAAACACTCTTCAGATCTCCAACTCCTTTCAGCTTTGTTGACTGCAACACACTTCTTTCTCTTGGCCTGGATCCACTCCCTGTTAGCAGCTTTCCTGGGCAGATATCCCATAGCTCTGGCATCTCCAGCATCTTGGGGTCTCAGAGGGAATCCAGATTTCAACTTCACAGTTTCATGTAATGGCTTCTAGGCCTCCATTCAGGAACACCCTGACATATGCTTGGCTTCCGTGGCTTTCCTTAGTCGCATGGGCAAATCCCATAGCCCCTTTCTTCTATCCTTGATTCCAGAACCACGTGAGCTACCAAGTTCTGCTGCTTAGTGGAGCTGGAACATGGTCCCCTTGTTTAATTACATCTTCACCAACTTAGTCTTTTATTACCTAAGCTTGGCTCCTGAAACTTGCTCTGTAGACCAGCTGGCCTGGAACTCAGAGACCTCTCAAGCGGAGAGTGCTGGGATTAAAGGTGTGTACCATCACAACCAGCTCTAAGTCTTCCTTAATTCCTTTTCACAAGTTGGAAACTTATGGGTGGGATCTTGCGGTCCCCACTCCCTTTATTCCATTTCTTTCTTTTTATTTGTTTAAGGATTTTTAAAAAATGTATGTGTATTGGTATTTTGCCTGCACGTATGTGTGAGGATGTCAGATCTTGGAATTACAGACAGTTATTAGCTGCCATGTGGTGCTGGGAACTGAACCCAGGTTAACACTTATTATCACATGACAGAGTCTGTACTAGGCTGTTTTGAGATTTCCTCTGCTAATGGAATTAATCCAAAATTCTTCACTTTAGCCTCAGGCAGGCTCTTCAGACAAGGGCAGAAAGCAGCCACATTCCTTACTAAATATCACAAGAATAATCTCTAGACCACATATTAATATTCTTCTTCTCTGTGACCTCTTGAGCAAGGTCCTCACAGTTCATCAAATCACATTCAGCACCACTGTCTTCCATGCTCCTAATAGTGTGGTCCATTAAGCAGTGCTTAAAGCTTCTCTAACTGAAAGTACCAAAGTCTAAATTCCTCCAAACAAAATACATGATACGGCCTATCACAGTAATACCCCAGTTCTTGTTAACAACTTTTATCTCAGTGTTTCTGTTGCTGTGAAGAGATACTGTGACCATGGCAACTCTTATAAAGGAAAACATTTAATTGAAGGGGCTCACTTACAGTTCAGAAGTTCAGCCCATTATCATCATGGTGGGCATGGTAGAGTGCAGACAGACATGGGTGTTATAGCTGTAATTGAGAGTCCTACATCTTGTAGGCAACAGGTAGTGATCTGAGGCACTGGGTGTAACTTGGGCATATATGAGACTTTAAAGCGTACCTGCACAGTGATATACTTCTTCCAACAAGACCATATCCACTCCAACAAAGCCACACCTCCTAATAGTGCCACTCTCCATGAGATTTGGGGGCCAGTTACATTCAAACTACCACAAATGCTTATTAACTCTATGGTTTAAATCTGAAAGTAGTCTACATTTTTAAGAGGTAGAAAACAACAAGTACCCAAGCTACGATTTTGTCATCTTCCTTAATTTGTCTTCAACTTTGGAGGATCTCATTTACTTCTGCCAAGTGCCAGGAAGTACTATTAATTCAGGCTATCTCAAGGGACTGGACAATCTAGAAGAGGGAAGCCAGGTCTAGGTTAGTGGAGAGCTTGTTTCTTGGTTCACCCTTACCCTGAGAGTTAAACTCTTATAAGTCACAACTTTAAGTTTCCTTAGCTCTTGAGTTTTATTGAATGTCTATAGAAGAAAAGTAGCTTCTGGTTTTTGTTTTATTGTATCTTATAATCTCTTTCTCCACCCTACCTTTTTTTTTTTTTTTTTTTTTAAAGACAGGGTGTCTTGTTGGCCAAAGTGGGCTTTGATCTTGCTATGTAGCTGACCCTGAACTGTTTCTCCTGCCTGTACCTTCTGAGTGCTGGGATTATAGGCTTTTATCATGCTACCCCCCACTTAACGCAGTGCTAGGGACACAACCCAAGGCTTTGTCTGTGCTAGACAGGTATTGAGTGAAGTCCCTGAGTGAGTGAAGCCCTGAGTGAATGTATATTTTGACATGAGCAAAAAGCCTGTTGAGGACTTGGAGACCAAATGGCCCATAGGAAATAGGTACCTCTGTTATCCATGTGGGTCAGGCTAAAGAGGGTGGCAAAGCTTTCTTTGGGTGTTAGGAGTTGTAATGCTTGATTATGAATGAGTAATCAGTGTGCAATGACTAGCAACTGGGGCATCCTCCTGTATCCTTATAGGCTGAAACCACTTACCTACAGCTAACCCTTCCCCCTGCGCTGTACCTAATAAATGCTCTGAGGTTCCAGGTTGTGGTAGTAGTACTAGAGAATCCCACCAGATCCTAGCTTCATTGTATGCATAGCTGTGTGTCTATCCTTTATTTCCTCACTACCCCTAGCCAGGTTTCCAAGACTCAAGTCTTGAGTTGAGGTTAAGGCAAAGCTAGCTACATTTCTAGCCTACTTCTTTTCAAGGACAAGTTTCTCAGCAGACCTATAATGCCTGGTTTACATATCATCTGGGAACCTGGAATAATTCTAGTAGTGACAGCATCACTACCTTCTCCCTCCTTGGCATGTGTAGTTGATTTGATGGTGCTTATAATTACTGTGCCTGCTCAGAAATCTTTCCTGACCTGGTCAGTTCTCCCTTCATACTTCCTGCTAGCTAGGAAAAGTTAGAAGTTCTAAGTTAAGCAATTTCTAGTATGATGCTAATGAATATGATTTTTCTTTTGCCACTGGAAAGTTTTATCTGTGTATTAAAGAAATCAAGGAATTCTTTTTCCCCCTAGAATGGTAGTCTTACAAGAGTGATGATAAAGTAGACTATGAACTTTGTTTTTTGATTGATTGTTTTTTTGTGGGCCAAACAGAACCTCTTGTTCCTGGTTTCTGATATACTTAGAAATAAAGACTGCCTAATGAAGTGATCCTAGTCTCTCCTTGTAGCCCAGTGAATGATAACAGTTCAAGAGCCTCACAATCTTTACAAAATATCTTGTACTGGGCATGGTGGCACATGCCTGTATTCCCAGCACTAGGCATGCTGAAGCAGGTAGATCTCTAAGTTCAAGGCCAGCCTGGTCTACATAGCAAATTCTAGACAGCCAGGACAATATACAGACACCCTGTCATTCGTGTGTGTGTGTGTGTGTGTGTGTGTGTGTGTGTGTGTGTGTGTGTATGTGTGTGTTATTTCTCTCATTCTTTATATGAAAAACTAGAATGCTGTATTCCAGAGAACAGTGCAAGATAGGGTTTATTCAAATAAATCTTGTATAAGCATACTATCTATGAAGTAAATTTTGATGTAAGGATAGCCTAATTTGCTCTGTAAAAATAGTGGATTTTTTTCTTTTTCTTTCTTTTCTTTTCTTTCTTTTTTTTTTTTTGAGACAGGGTTTCTCTGAATAGCCCTGGCTGTCCTGGAACTCACTTTGTAAACCAGGCTGGCCTAGAACTTGGAGATACACCTGCCTCTGCCTCCCACGTGCTCGGACTAAAGATGTACACCATTACCACCTGGCTGTGGATTCTTTTAAATATATTTAAGTGTAAATATTATTTGTTTTGCGACAGGTTTCTACATTGCCCTAGTTGTCCTAGAATTCACTGTGTGGACCCGGAAGGCCTTGAACTCAGATCTACCTGTCTCTGCCTCCCAAGTGCTGGGATTAAAGTGTAGTACCACACCCAGTAAATATAGAGTGTAAGCATGAGGAGTAAGAAGGAAAGAGGCTCTCAGGAAAAAGTAAGATATACCTGAGAACATGGGTGTGGGTTTGTCTGAGAGTGTGGACTTGCATATAATTTCCTTTAACTTTGTAGTTAAGAATGTCTTGGAAGTTGTGCTCCTCCTACCTCCACCTCCCACGTCCTGGGATTATAGGCAAGCACCCCCACTCTAGTTTTATGCAGATTTGGAGAATGAACCCAGCACTGTATGTGTGATAAACAGGCACTCTACCAACTGAGCTACATCCCCAGACCTCATTAACTTCTGTTGCACTTTTTCTCTTTCCCTTAGGGAACTCAAATTTTTTTATTGCCAACCTCTTCTTTGGGTTCTACAAAAGAAACGATGCCTCCAGCAGCCTCTAAAGCCCAGGACTCCAGTCCATTATCAAACAGACTCCTGATTGAAAAACAAGTAAGTGTAAAATATTTTAGGGCACTGTTTTTTCTCAAGGTATATGCCAAAAGAATGCTAGGTGTACACATAGAAAATTCTGACATGATTTTTCTTTTTTTGCACTTATTTATTTTTGAATGTGGTGTACATGTGGAGGCCAGAGGAAACCTTGCAGGAGTTAAGATTTTCTTCTTCCACCATGAGAATCTTGGAACCAAACTTGGATTGTCAGGCTTGGGGGCAAGCATCTTTACTCACTGAACTTCTTGCTGGCCTGAAATTCTGACTTTAAAAAGATTGTTTGGTGGGATTGTCAGGTATAATGGTTAAGAAGGATATACTGCTCTTCTAGAGGAACTGAGTTCAAGTACAAGCACCCACATCATGCAGCTCCTAACTACTTGTAACTCCAGCTCCAAGGAATTCACCACCCTCTTCTGGCCTCTGCAGGTACCTGCTGCACTCACTTGAACATGCTGTCCCTCACTCTACCCCATCCCCAAACACACACACACAAGTATGTGTAATTAAAAATGAATTTTTTTAAAAGATTGGATAAATAACTGAAGAAGTATGGATTAAAGACAGTCCAGTATCTTTTTGTTTGTTTGTTTGTTTGTTTTTGTTTTTGTTTTTTGAGACAGGGTTTCTCTGTGTAGATTTGCGCCTTTCCTGGAACTCACTCTGTAGCCCAGGTTGTCCTCAAACTCACAGAGATCTTCCTGGCTCTGCCTCCCAAGTGTTGGGATTAAAGGCATGCTGGGATTACAGGCATGCGCCAACATCGTCCAGCTCTGTCCAGTATCTTTATTTCTTTAGCTTCCTCAATTTTATCAGTCTCCAGGAAGATTTGACATATAGCATTTTCCTTCTTTTTATTTTATTTTATTTTATTTTATTTATTTATTTATTTATTTATTTATTTATTTATTTGTTTGTTTTTCAAGACAGGGTTTCTCTGTAGCTTTGGAGCCTGTCCTGGACTAGCTCTGTAGACCAGGCTGGCCTTGAACTCACAGAGATCCACCTGCCTCTGCCTCCCGAGTGCTGGGATTAAAGGCATATGCCACCACCACCCGGCTGTGCATTTTCCTTCTTATTTGACTGTTTGAACTTTTTATTCTACTAATATTACCAGTACACTTTTTTGAAAATGCCATTTCCAGCATTTTTATTATTTATTATTTTTAAGATTTTTTTTTCCTGAAATTTTTAATTAATTTTTTTTATGTATTTTACATACCAACCTCTTCTCCTATTCCCCCCTCCCCTCCTGTCTACTCCCCTTCCTCAATCCACTCCCCAGAAAAGGTAAGGCTTCCCATGAGTCAACAAAGCATAGCATATCAAGTTGATGCAGGACCAAGCTCCTCCCCCCTGCATCAAGATTGAGCGAGACATCCCACCATTGGGAATAGGTTCTAAAAAGCCAGCTCAAGTGCCAGAGACAGATCCCTGCAAACAGACCAAACTACACAACTGTCACCCACTTATTCTTATTGTCCTGATTATATAGGGGCATGGGGGACGTGTGTATATGGTTTCTGTGGAGGCCAGAGGCATCGAATCACCTCTGGAGCTGGAGTTACAGGCAGTTGTGAGGCACCTTGACGTGGGTCCTGGATACAGAACTCAGGTCTTCTTTAAAAGCAGAGCAATATGTGCTCTTAACCACTGAGCTGTCTCTCCAGGTCCCTATTTTCAGTATGTATAAACAGTTACTTTCTTCATAAGATACAAGCATCTGGAAGATGGCTAAGTAAGTAAGATTGTTGGTTGTGTAAGCATGAAGAGCTTCATTTAAATCCCCAGAACCCTGTACAGTGTGGTCATGGTGTAGTGTGGTCATGGTATGGTGTGGTCGTGGTATGGTGTAGTCAGATCTTTCTTTGTGCTACCAGCTCACAAATAATGACATGGAGACTTATTATTAATTGTGAAAGCTTGATCTTAGATTAAGCTTGTCCCACCAGCTTTTATTGCTTAAATTAATCCATTTAATCTTTGTTGCCATGTGTCTCCTTACCTCATCTCTCCATACTGCCCATCCTGCTTCCTCCATGTCTGGCTGGTGACTCTGCCTTCTTCTTCCCTGAGTTCTCTCTATGCCTGGAATCCTGCCTATACCTCCTGCCTAGCTATTGGCTGTTTAGCTCTTTATTACACCAACCACAGCAATACATTTTCACACAGTGTACAAATATCCCATAACAGTATGGTCATTTCTATGGTGCCAGCACAGGTGGTGGGTGGCAGATGGGTATAGAGATAGGAAGATTGCCAGGGTTTGCTGGCCACCAGCCTAGTTCAAGGTTTAGTACAAGACCTATGGTAGAAAGTGATAGAGAAAGACATTTAATGTCTTCCTCTGACCTTCACTTATGTACACACTCATGTTCATACAAAATACAAGAGGCGTCAGATAACAATGTGTATTGTTTGATCATATGCAATGTGTGACCATATTAAGGCTAGAACCTTTGTTTTTAATAAGTTTAGTGGACAGGCATTCTTTGAGATACCCACACAGTAATTTTTTTTTTTTTTTTTTTTTTTGGATATCAGTGTTAATTTTAGTCCTTCATCCACCAAAGTAGTTCAGCTATGTGATCAGAAACCTTAAGAATAAGTGAGAAAAAATTGTGTATAAGAGAAAAGAAGGGGAGGGGAGTATAAGTCATAAAGAAAGATGTCTTTGGCTGTGAGTCATCATGCTAGGAAGCTATCATCAGGGTAATTTATTCCAGTTTTTCAGTTAATATTCTTTTAAAAAATTGTATGTGTGTGTGCCTGAGTATATATGTATGTGTAGGAGCCTGTAGAGGTGAGGTCAGAAGAGGCGTTGGATCCCTTGGAACTGAAGTTACAGATGGTTGTGATCTTCCATGTGGTGCTGGGAACTGAACCTGGGTCCTCTGTAGGAGCTGTAAGTGGTTTTAAACACTGAGCAATCTCTCCAGGCTCCCTCACTCCTGCCCCCCTCCCTTTTGAGAGATTCTCTCAAAGAGTGTCTTTGACTATATAGTCCAAGCTGGCCTTGAATTAAAAAACAACTGTCTGCTTCCTGCCTTCTGAGTGCTGGTATCAAAGGTGTATGCCACCATGCAGAGAGTTGGTAAGTTCTTTTAAAAAATGATTTAAGAATTTATTAACTGGTATTTGCAGTTTATAGTTTATTTACTTTTGAAAAAAATTTTTCTTTTTTTAAGACATGGTTTCTCTATGTAGCTCTGGCTGTTCTGGAACTCACCCTGTAGACCAGGCTCGAATTCACAGAGATCTGCCTGTTCCTGCTTCTTGAGTGCTGGATTAAAGGCATGTGCCACCATGCCCCACTAAAAAAGATGAAATTCTTAAAAATTTGAACTTGAACAGAAATGAAACAACTTTAAAACCTTTAAAGGTGGAGCTGGAGGAGTGGCTCAGTGATTATGAGTGCTCTTGGAGAGGACCCTGATCAGTCCAGCACTACATCAGTACTCACAACTGCCTGCCTCTGCAATTCCAGGGCATCCAGCGCTCTCTTGGCTCCTTGCCCATATGGTTTACATAAAACTTATTCAAGCACACACATTCACAAAGTAAAAATAATAATCAAGTCTTGAAAAAAAAAAACAAAACCTTTAAAGATGTATTAGTAAAACCAGACTGTAAAAAGAGTCACCACCCTTATGGTGCTCACAGCTGTTTGTAACTCCAGTTCCAGGGAAGTCGATACCCTCTTCTGGCCTCTTTAGGCATCAGACACAGACATACATGCAGGCAAAACACCCATAAACATACCAAAAAAGAAGATATCTTTATGTTAAAATAATAGAGCTCCATATTGTATTGCCACCGAATAGTTCTTGGGTACTGGGTCAATGGGCAAAAAGCAAGCAGTTAGATCTTCAGTTTCAGTCTCTTGTTTGCTCTTGTTTCTGGAATTTCCTAGTCATCTTATTGGGTGCCTAAGCCAGATGATAGAGATGGTAAGCCAGTATTTACTCTGCTCAGCCTTAGGAGTAGACAGATTCTCAGCTGATGCACCAGCTGCTTTTATCTCTGTGCTGTTATGGTTCAGAGTTCTCTGGGTATCTGCATGCATAGTTGAAGTTGCTGTGTGTGATACCTATGTTGAAGTGACTGTTGGCATTAGGTCTCATTTCTTTGATTTCCCTTGTCTTTGTTGCCTTCTTCCACTTTGTCTTTGGTGAAGAGAGCCCCCGTAGAATCATGGTCTATAACCCCATACATAGTCTTACTGGTCTGTCTTGCTCTCCTGCACCCTAAGTGTCAACAACCCCCCTCACTTTTTTCCTGCACAGGAGGGTTTTGGAATACTGTGGTTGACACCCATAGGATCTTGTGTAATGAGGTAGGAACCTTTACCTGAATTGTTGTGCTTTCTGATCCCTCCTTCTTTCCCAAAATCTCACTGTTCTGGTAATTGCATGGAGGACCCACATGAGGTGGATATAATCTATAATGGTTACTTCCTGTCTTGAACTGGAACTCCATAGGGCCTGTAAGGATAATGGAATTTTCCCAAGTTCCTGCCCTGAGAAAATTCCTCCCAGAGTCCTGGGAAAGACGCTACATATAGCGTGGGATATCTGAGGGAAAGGAATCCACGTACACTATGCTCTTTTGTCCATTAACTTTATTCCTCTAAGGCAAAATTTTATCTATACAGCTTCAGCCCTGTCCTCACATTCAGCTCCTCTCTTTGCCCAGTTTTCCTATCCTAATAGTTTTAGTAAGCTCCTATGCTTTTGAACTGATCTTCATCCTCTGTTCCTTCATCCTCCATCTATCCTTCCTGGCTCTTTATCCCTGGCCCTGATAAACTCTATAAGAGATCTGTTTTACCCTCTACAGAACCTCTGTCGTCTTCTCCTCTCTCTGGCCACAGGGTTCTGTGTCTCTTCTGGAATTCTGCTCCAGTCCTTACTGTACCTGGTTATGCAAAAAACCCTATTGTCCTCAGTCAGTTGCCTTGGAATGCCACTAGGCTTGAAGGCAAGAGACGGTATGAACTTCATTTGCACAAGAAGCAAAGCCATGCATGTAGAGCCTGCTTGTCTTCTAGGCTCATCGGGGGAGTTAGTTACCTAGAAGTTCCGCAGCTCTGAGAAGCTTAGCTGTTTGCCAAATGGTCTGTAGTATTTGGGCACACAAGAATTTCATAGCAGAAGACAGCTGAAATATTAAAAACTGGATAACACCAAAATATTCCATAATAAATGGCTTGCCTCTAGAACAATACCTTGAAATTTCTTGGTATAGCTTTAATATCCAGCTGAATCTCTATATTATATTCTTGTGGCCCACAAGAGGTCTGTAACATCTGCTGCTTCCCCACCCTTTCCTTTAACAAAATCAAACTTGAGTCTCTACTTCCAACACTTCTTCAAGGTTCTTTTTGAGATTGTTCTTCTTTATGGCAGTCTGTGGGGCACACACATCATCTTTGGTGTATTATCCCTGTTGATGAAACTATATCTATTTCTTTTTGTTTGTTTGTTTTTGTTTTTTGAGACAGGGTTTCTCTGTGTAGTTTTGGTGCCTGTCCTGGATCTCACTCTGTAGCCCAGGCTGGCCTTGAACTCACAGACATCCGCCTGGCTCTGCCTCCTGAGTGCTGGGATTAAAGGCGTGTGCCTGGTACCACCACCCAGCTTTGTATCCATTTCTTAGAGTGAACTGATTTGCCATCCCAGTGCCCTTTCCCCCTTGTTGATGCATGCATAGCTGCTTAAGGTGCCCAGCTTGGTGTCTGAGGGTGCAGAGGCAGAAATGGCTGCTGGGTGTCTCTGACTTGCTCTTCAGGGTTGAGGTGATGGTGATTGGGGCAGGCTGTAGCAGCTGTGGCTTCTCTGGGGGCATGGTAATTAAGAGACTGGAGGCCTAGGTGTGGCTGTTCAGAGATCTCCCTGGACTCCTGTTATTGATCATAATTGTTGGTCAGTCAACAGAGGACATATATCAAATACCACAAGGCTTGAGGGCATTGAGTGACTGTATGCTGTGTTCACAAATGCCTTTCTTGCCTGCTCTGGGACTTTGAGGATAGCACCTTCAGAAGCAAGAAGAGGGACTTCCTGAAGTGGCCCAGTCTTGTCTGAATTCACAGTAAGCAAGATGATTTCCAGGAAGTATCCATGAAATTTCTAACTATCACAGAACATTAAGGTACAGGCTATGGGAGAAGAGAAGGCAGAACCAACATTGGCTGCTTCCAGTTATGCTTGTTCAGTGGGCAAGGACTGGGGGGGGGGGCTCAACTGAGCTCCTTCTGTAAATTCACAAAAAGATTGCTCTGATATTAAATTGTAGTGAAAACAAAATGCACTAAAAAGCTGATGTTATTCTATGTTGGTGGAAATGGGAGGAAAGAATGAGTCCCCTGAAGCAGGAAGGGCACAGCTAACAACAGTTCTGTGGCCTTGACCCAGTTGGCCACTCATGCTCCATTTTTACTTTCAGTGGCCTTGGGAAGGTCTGATTCTATGTTTTCTTCCCTTTGATACTTGCTTGCAGATTTCACCAGCTGTCTACTTGACCATCTCTGCTTTTCTCATTTGTCTTTTTCTTGAGCTTCAGCCTCTGCTTTGTGCGTGTCTTGGCATCTCTTTCTTTTCTTTTAATGTACAGCTCGGCAAACGGTTTCGTGGTTTGTTTGTATACTGCTTGTTTGAACAGTTCAGGATCATCCTCTGCATCTGTAGGCTTTCCTTCCTTTAACTCCTGCCTCTTAACAATGTGCTCTCTTCAGCCTGAATTATATTCAGGGCTATCATCTGTTCCTGATGCAGTAGCCCACTTGTAAGCTTTGCCCACAGCTTCAAAAGCCTTTTGTGCACCAACAGCAGCATCTTGATTTTTGTCAGGATGCACCAATATTATACAGCTGCAAAAACCTCTCTTTTATTTCATTATCTGTCACTTCAAGAATAACTGGAAAATCTCAATTGGGTTCACATTAAAGAGAAACCTGAACAGGTCAATCTCTCAGTGTGATTTTTGGATGTAGAACTTCTCTTTCTATTTGTTTAGCCTCACTGTAGAAGATCATAAAAGCCTCTCCTGTGCTACCTGCCCAGAGCCCTGCTTCTTTGGAAGCTACCATATTCCTGAAGCTGCTGTTTCCCAAGTCCAGCCCTCACATGAGCCTTGATTTCCTTTTTTCATCATTGTTAAAGGGATACTTGTTTCAGAGTTGACTAGTTTTAATTTTCAGTTGTGTCCTTTTTATAAGTAACTGTGTTGCAGCTCTGGGTTTGGTCCCAGTTTTGGCACCAAAATGTGAGTTTCGCCACTCTGGGGGAAAGGTATCCTGACTACCTGGGGAGTCAGGTGACACCTTGAGCTGCTAGGACAGCTCTGACGGCTGGAGCTGCAATGAGACAATGAGCCCTGGTGGGCGAGGTATCCAGGATGCTTTGAGCTGCTAGGACAGCTCTGACGGCTGGAGCTGCAATGAGGCAGCTCAGCCCTGGGAAGGGAACGCATTCTGACTGCTCAGGAGAGTCAGACTTGGAGCTGCTAGGACAGCTCAGCAGGGAAGGGTATCCTGACTGTTCAGGAGTCAGGTATACCTGGTGTGGTGGGGGGATGGTCTTCCTGCAGGATATGGCAATCCTGCTCCTCTCCAGGAGAGCTGCTGCAGCTGAGCTTTGCTCCACCCCCACTTAAGGGGGCTTCCTAGCAGAGCTCTGCTTCTCCAGCCTAAGATGTTGCTTCTTTTGCTTCACTCTGTGAAAGGGGAAACCCCTGCAGAAATATAGCAATTTCCTCTGGCTCCGGAGAAAAGTGTTACTTTTTCAGCTCTCCCTTGTTTTGTCCACTGAGGGATGTCTCAGCAAGGATCTTCTCTACACCAGTGAATGAATATCTTCACACCCAAAACTCATTTGAGGAAGAGATTTATTTGGGAAGGAGCCCAGGAGAGTGGCTGCCTTTACCAGGGTGGAGAGAACAACCCACAACTGACCAGGCAGGGTGGTTTATATAGGATCTCTTGGGGGCAGAGTCAACCAGGGATTCGTCAGTTTTGTGGGCTAGGGGCAGAGATGGCCCTGATTTCAGAACCAAACTGTGTTTCTTTCACTGGACTTTCTTAGCTTTTTGACACTAATTCTAAGGCCAGGGCATATTTCTTTCACTGACTCTGATTCTAGGGACCAAGAGTGTTTTTTGGTACTGGTTTCAGAGTCAGGGCATATTTCCTGGGTTCTGGGTTTGGGGATAAAGTGTTCATTTCTCTGGCTCAGGTCCCAGACCCAGGCTGTGTTTCTTTCCCTGGTTCTGAGCTGCAGGATCAGGGTGGGTTTCTTTCTTTTTTTTTTTTTCTTTTCTTTTCTTTTTTTTTTTTTTCCCCCGAGACAGGGTTTCTCTGTGTAGCTTTGGAGCCTGTCCTGGAACTCACTTGGTAGACCAGGCTGGCCTCGAACTCACAGAGATCTGCATGGCTCTGCCTCTCGAGTACTGGAACAGGGTGGGTTTCTTTACCCAGCCCCTTTTCCCTTTTAGTATGGCCTGATCTTATTCAATTACTTATCTATTTCACTGAAATGACCAGTTTTATTTTAATTTACCCATGAAGGCCTACATGTGAATATTTTGTATAATGTAATAATTTACTCATTTGCATACTTCTGTTGCTGATTTTAGTAAAAACAATAAATCTTTTAAAAATATAATTTGGTACATAAAATTTCATATTAAAACTAGGCATGACATACATCTTTTATTCCAGCACTTGGGAAACAGGCAATCACATCTCTTTAAGTTCAAGGCTGACCTAGTCTACAATTCCAGTTCCTGTCCAGCCAGGGCTACGTAGTGAGACCCTGTCTGAAAAAAAAAAAATTATAAGACCCTTTGAATGCTTGCTGGTCCATTTCCACAGGATCCTAGTCAGTTTATAGCATCCATATCATATAGCTTACAAATTCCAGGGACTGACACCTTCTTCTGGTTTCTGCTGCACCTCAATTTAATGTACTAATACCTACATATAGACAAGCACACACATACATCTAAAAATCAAAAATCTTTTGGAGGAAGGTTGTTTTCTGAAAATATAGGAAATTATATTGAAGGTTTTTCTTCACATCTTAAAGTTGTTCCTTTTGCTCTACTGTGATTATAGCAGGAGGAAGCAGAATGGGAAAGCGTAAATGGGCTGTTGATGACACATGGCTTCAAACCTTTGTGTCTAGTCAAAAGAACCGATCTCAAAGGTAACTAGACCCTTTTCTTGCTCTGTTAGGTACAAAGCTTATTTTTCTTTGAAAAGTGTTTATCTTAAAATGGTCTTACTTTCTCTTTGTTTTTACCATTTCTATAATATACATTACAATGTAGATCTCATCGTTTTTGACAAACAGTCATCACAAAGAATGAGGCAGAATTTGAAAATGTTGATGGAAGAAACAACACGTCAGCAGAGCATGATACGGGAGCTCATAGAGAAGAACCAGCAGCTTAAGTAAGACAGTGGGCACGCCCCAGGATTGTTTGCATATATTCTAAACACAGCTCCCCGAAGAGGATCCTGAAATTTCATTGTACTTATTTATTTATTTATTTTTCAGTTTATTTTACTTCTTACGTGTATGGGTGTTTCTGTCAGCAATGCATATAAGTGTACTGTGTGGGTGCCTGAACCTACAGAATTGAGAAGAGGGCATTCAGATCCCCTGGAACTGGAGTTATGAATGATTGTGAACTACCATGTGGGTGTTGGGAATCGAACGTAGGTCCTCTGGAAGAGCAGCTAATGCTCTTAACCGCTGAACCATCTCTCTAGCCCCCTGAAATTTCATTTTTAATAAATGTAAAACATAAAAATACTTTTACAAGTAAATGGGTAAAAATTTAGTTGACTTTCAGTAGCACTTAGCATTGATGTGTAATGGTACCCTCTCTTCTATTACTTTCTCTTATCAGGTAGATGAGATTGGGTGTGTCAGGGGGCACAGCTACAAACCTGTTGTTATAAGATAGAAGTGTGGAGGCTGGGGTACAGCTCAGTGTTAATTATGCTAATGTTTGATCCTCAGTACCAAAACAAAGTAAAAAAATTAAGAATGTAGAGACATTTTTGGGAAGTAATTTGTTATATGGCATATACAATCTGATTTATTTTAACATTGAGGGAAGGAATTGTGTCTCTTAATTAGAAATGAACTTCAGCTAGAACAGAACCGAGCGGCACACCAGGAACATCGAGCCAATGACCTGGAGCAGATTATGGATAGCGTGAAATCCAAAATTGGTGAATTAGAAGATGAGTCCCTAAACAGGGTTTGCCAGCAACAAAACAGAATACAAGACCTTCAAAAGGAGCATAAACTGTTACAGGTATTGTATTGACTTATATATTTTCTTATTTGATGGTTAATATTGAAAGTTCTTCATAGTCCCAGGTAATTTCCATGTTGCTTCCATGGTGTATGTCTGTGACAAAGGTCAAGGAAATCCAAATGCTTGAGGTATGTGGAAAGATGGTTAGAGGAAAACAATTTACGTTGGCATAGGACAGTAATGTTAATAGGTGAGCTTTTCTACTTAGCACCTCATTTTGAGATTTGTCTATAAGGCTGCATGTTATAGTTTCATGAGTATCCCTAAGAGATGTATGTGTGTGTCTATGTGAGTGTATGCCACATATGTATGGGTGTCTTTGAAGGCCAGAAGAGGATGTTAGGTTCCCTAGAACTGGAGTTACAGGAACTTGTGAGCTGCTGGATGTGGGTGCTGGGAACTGAATTCACATCCTCTGGAAGAACAGGAAGTGCTCTTAACCACTGAGCCCTTCAGCATCTCATACTGCACTATTGCATAGCTCATTGTGCCTGCACAGGGATTTTCCTACACTTGTAAATGTCTAGCAGTCTACTTTATAGCAACCATAGTGTCATGTTTAGAGACATAGTGTACTGTATATGGGTATCAATGTCTTTATAAATCTCATATTGCCCTGTAATGAGCTCAGATTTCATTGTAAATGTCTCAATCTCTATGTACATCCCATAATGAATATTGTAGAAGTCATAGTTATCTACAAAGAACCCCTAAAACAATGTATACTTTATAATGTCATAATACTCAGCATACAACTGTTTCCCTATATTAAGCATATATTGCCCTAGACACAGCTCACAGTGCCTTCATAGCCCATAATACTGTTTGGAGTTTATGGTATTCTATATAGATCTCACAGTGCACCTGTATGTGGGACATTTTCTTAATTAGTGATTGATGTAAGAGGCCCAAGCCTATTGTGGGGGAGGCCACCCTTGGGCTCATGATCCTGGGTAAGAAACCATGCTGAGCCAGCCATGGGGAGCAAGCCAGTAAGCAGAGCCCCTCCATGGCCTCTGTATCAGTTCCTACCTCCAGGTTCCTGCCCTGTTTGGTTTCCTGTTCTGACTCCCTTCAGTGATAGACTATGATGTGGGAATATAAGTCAAATAAACCCTCTCCTCTCCAAGTTGTTTTTGGTCATGGTGTTTCATCACAATAATAGTTACCCTAACCAAGACAATAGAGCTTACTGGAAGCCTGTACAGATCTCATATTCACCTGATGGAGCTTAGAGTGCCCTGTATAAAGGGCATAGTGCCTGCTTAGAGCTCATAGTATCCTATACAGAGCTCATCATGTCTTATATGGAGTCATAATGCTCATGAATATAGATCCTTTTCCACCTGATGAAGGTTCATATTGGAAATTTATTGACTCCATGACGTCTTATATAGAGATCATAGTTCTCACTATGGATCTCAGTGCCCTATATAGACTTTTAAGTGGCCTGTATAGATACCATATTTCTCTTTATGTGGTTATATTACCTTATACTATGTGTAATAAAGCCACATGAGCAGATAATAGTGAATTTTATACAGAGCATAGGTTACCCAGCCTGTGAGCTTCTGGGGATCCTTCTGTCTCTGTTTCCCATTTTGCCATACGAACGGTGGACGTATAGATGAGTGCTGCTGCACCTGGCTCTCTGTGGGCTTGGGGACTCAATGCAGGTCCTCCTGCCTGCTTGACAAATATTTTACCCATTGAACCCTTACCTCAGACATATAATGAAAACTAAAACACTGAAAAAAAGAAATTGAAGAATACACTAGATGATAGAAAGACTTCCTATTCAGTTTATGGATTGGCAGAATTAGAAAGTGGCTATATTACCAAAAACAGTTTCTATATCCCCATGAAAATT